CGGCTGCGTCCCGGCTCAAACACAGCGTGTCCTGGTGCTGAAGAGGGTCTGAAAGATGCTCCAGCACCAGCTACCACCGTAAAGCTTTCTAAGGATGTGAGAGGATGGAGAAGAAATTTATTCCCTTGAGTTGGAAGCACTTGCCATCCAGGTGGAGAAGGACAGAGCCCAGCAGTTGACAGCAGGGTTTGGGCACGTCCACGGCAGACAACGGGCTTGGTATGGCATCGATACTTCAGATTTTATTTCCAAGCCAGCACAAAAACCCCACAGCTTTCCCCCAAGCAGAGCTGACAGCCTCAGCCTGCCCCTCTCCCTGCACTGTGAGCCGTCAGACCAGGGTAGAAGCATGGTTTGCAGACCAGCTCTTACACAGCCACGGCCGGTCCTGAAGGCAGCGGTGGCCCAAATCCAGAGCAGCCCAAATCTGGAGCAGCCTAAACCCAGAGCAGCCCGAACCCAGAGCGTCCCAGACCTGGAGCAGCCCAAATCCAGAGCGTCCCATGCATATACCACGCCAGCCAGTCCTGCTCGGAGCAGGTGGTCAAGAGCTCTCTGGGGACAAACCCCACATCAATCCTCCGTGTTTCCAGAGTTCACAGACGATTTCACAGAAAAGGAAACTGTTTTCGCCATGACTTGTCATAAGATTTCCTCTCTTCGGGTTGCAACACAGAAATGGGGGAGCACAGTGATTACAGGAACGTTAACCTCTGGCTCAGAGGCTCCAGGCGCTGCTGGGGGTTTTTGGGGGGAGCAAGGAGACACCTAAGCGACAGCAGCGGTTGACAAGGACCACAGAGAGCCGTCCCCCTCTCTGCCCTCCGCATGGGAGGTTCAGGCAGCATTAGGCTCCTCAGGGCCGGGCAGCCTCTGCCCCTTTCCCCGCCACCTCCTGCATACACCCTGCAAACAAGCAACGCATCCCACCCAAGACAAATTCAAGGTGCAAGAGCCGGGGGCAGAGACCCAAGGGTGGAAGAAGCAAGCCGTGGGCACAGGGTGGCATTTCTCATGCCCGGAGAGGCAGCGTGGCTGTTTCAGCTCCAGGACTGCACCCACTGTCCGTGCTCTTGGTGTCGGCCACCCCGGTGTCCCCAGCCGGTTGCAGGGGAGGGGGTGACAGCGGTGTTTTTGCAAAGACCTCGTCCAGATTTTACTAAGTCAGTGGTATTCCCCCAAAACACACGCTCCTTTGCCGGCATCACCTCTCCCAGCACCTGCAGGAGGTGAGACGTCGGGGAGGACACCCGCCGCCTTCGCCATGGGACTCTCCACTCCCACCACAACCCGTCC